GTTATCAAATCACTGAACCCGGCCTTCATGGGCAGCAACATAAAATTGCCAACTTGTAGGTCTCCAGAGAGAAAAAAAAAGTATGAACTGTACTGTTCAAATTATCAAAATTGCCCTTGGAGGAAAAGCTTTTAAGCGGTTGTTTTAAGACTCACAGTCCATCACTCCTCTAAATGCTCCCTTTGATCCAGCCAGGCGTGGGGAGCTTTGCACCACCACCGTGTTTGTGACTCCCTCAGAATGGGTTCCCCTCCGTTGCTCTTCAGCCTCGTGCCGTGAGCTAACAGTGAAGCATGCTATACAGAGCTGTCCAGATTCTTTTATTATCAGTTGTGGAAATGTTGTAGGGCTTCCCCTGATGTTCATGCACCTAATCAAATGCTTACACACTCCAGGAAAGTATGTTTTTGAGCCCATGATCTGTCTTATGGGCACCATAAAAACTTGGTTTTTTGGTACAGAGGTTCGAACTCAGGGTTTTGTGCTTGCTAGGCAAGTGATCTACCACTTGAGCCACACCTCCAGCTCTTTTTGCTCTGATTATTTTTAAGAAAGATAGGATCTTGCTTTTTGCTTGGACCATGATCCTCCAATTTTATGCTTCCTGCTATAGCAGAGATGACAAGTATGTGCCACTATGCCAAGTTTTTCAGTTGAGTTGGGGTCTCATGAACCTTCTTCTGGCCTCAAACTGTGATCCTCCCAATCTCAAGCTCCCAAGTAGCTAGGATTACAGGCTTGAGGCACTGTGCTCAGCAATGTTTCCATTTTGCCTAGGGCCAGCCCAGACTGCAATTCTCTTACCTTTGCCTCCCATATAATGGGTTGCAAGCCATGCCCTGCCACTCCTGATTTGTTTTTTGAGATAGGGTCTCACTAACTTTTTACCTGGCCTGGCCTCAAACTATGGTATTCCTATTTCTCCTCCTATGTAGCTGGAGTTACAGGTGTGAGCCACAGTGTCCGGTCTCATAAAACTTTTAGGTAACAGTATTCCTCCTCTGCTTTTGTCACTAAGAAGCAGATTCAGCCTGGCCCAAAAGACCAAAATTCGTATGTTCTCTCTCATATGCAGACATTAGATCAAGGGCAAACACAACAAGGGGATTGGACTTTGAGCACATGATAAAAGCTTTAGCACACAAGGGAGGTATGAGGATAGGTAAGACACCTAAAAAATTAGCTAGCATTTGTTGCCCTCAACTCAGAGAAACTAAAGCAGATATTTTAAAAGCAACTGAGGCCAATAGGAGAAGGGGACTAGGAACTAGAGAAAAGGTTAGATCAAAAAGAATTAACCTAGAAGGTAACACACACGCACAGGAAATCAATGTGAGTCAACTCCCTGCATAGCTATCCTTATCTCAACCAGCAAAAACCCTTGTTCCTTCCTATTATTGCTTATACTCTCTCTTCAACAAAATTAGAGATAAGGGCAAAATAGTTTCTGCTGGGTAAGGAGGGGGTTGGGGGGAGAGGGAGGGGGTGGAGTAGGTAAGGGAGGGGGTGGGGGCAGGGGGGAGAAATGACCCAAGCTTTGTATGCACATATGAATAAAACAATAAGACACACACACACACACACACACACACACACACAAAGAAGCAGATAACTTGGTGGTCTCAAACAACTGGACTGGACAATTGGATTAGGCTGTGGATCAGTTTACAGCCCTCATTTTCCCTTTGCTCTGATTCTACTGTTTGGCTCTTCTTGATGCATTTTTTATGGATTTCAAACTGTTTCTGGAACAAGCCAACAAATTCCCTTTTCGAATCATCATTCTGCACTTCAATGCTGTTCATGACCAATGTTTGCTTCACCTATGTCCTCAGTGACACACAGCTCATTTTATAGTTCTTTATCTCACCTGTAACATTTAGGTACTGAACTCGAGGGTATTTTGCCGACAGAAAGCCATCACCCAGGATTTACTAGATGTTATGTACCTATGAGGTAGGTACTATTTTTATTACCTCATTTCACATGTGAGAAAACTGAAGCACAGAGAGGTTATTAAACTTGCCCAACATTGCACAGGTAGTTAGTGGTAGAGCTAGGACTAGGAACAGGACATCTGCCTGTAGAGTCCACACTCTCTACCACTTGGCTTGGTGACCATTTGCAACTGTCTTCCACCTCCTGGTAAAGGGGGAAGAAGGTTATCCAGGGCCTCCTACACTTGCTGAGGTCAAATGCAGCTCCATGGGAAGGCAATGTCCAACCTACAGTGGGAACTCCACTATGTCCTCCAGCTAAAATCTTCATAGGAATCCAGATGGAGATTCCTTGAGAATTCAAGATAACTGACCCAACAAAACATTACCCGGAAACACCAAAAGTAGACTTCAGACCCTTCCTTGGTCATCGTATTTGGATACCCTGATCACTGAGATTCTATAACATGTGCTCAGAAACTAACTTAAAATTAATTTTGACTCATTTTTATATTTGGTAAATGTTTTTGAAAAGTGAAGTTGAGATATTAAACTATAGTAAATGTTCTGACAAATTTAGACAATCAGCTGTTTCAACTCATAAAACACAATGTAAGTTGAAGGAAATACACAGCACCTCATGGTTCCTTAAGTGTGTCCAGCAACTACAGAGTCCTCCATTGTCTTCCTAGTTAAGACACTGTTTGAAAACTGGAAGCAGGAGCTGTAGACTTCAAGCTGAGGCTTAGTAGTCTGGAAATGAAAAACTCCCTCAGACCAATCCAAACATACACAGTATTTTCAGAACCTGTGAAGCCCTTTTGGAAATATATTTTTAGTAAATCTTAACCCCTTTAGATATTATTCCCATTTTAAGGTGAGCACAATAAAGTCCAGAAGAGTAGTGATTTTCATTCACCCGGTATTTCTATTATGTGTTAGGCAGTATGATGACTAGCCAGAGAGGCAGAAGTCAGGGAAGACAGCACTGCTAGAAGAAGAGCACATGCAGGGCACTGTGGGAGCAGCAATGAAGAGAAACTTCTGACTCTGGCCAGGGGATGTGACAAAGTAGCCAAGTAAACTGAGTGTGGCAGGGGTGAGGTGGTGACAGGAAGAGGAGGAGAGACAAAGGCCAACCCATAGGACAGCACAAAAGAAGTAATGTGGAGCATTTGAGGACACTGGTTCCCTAGATTAACCTATCTGGGCACCTCCTGAGTGCCCAGCTCAGCCAGGCTGCTGCTGAATGATACGGATCCCACCAGAACGAGACAGGCAAAGCCCTTGCCTTCAAGTAGTTTAATTCAAGTAACAAAATCACCTCAAGGTCAGGGAGCCAAAGAAGATAGGAGAAGCAGGTTTAGGATACAGAAGTCAGGAAAGGCTTGCTCAAGAGGGGACCAGAATACAGGCCTGAGAAAGTACCAATCACAGATGCGGTGAGAGAAGGGGGTTTCCAAACATGCTGAAGCTCGCTACACTCAGGAAACAGAAAGGAAGGCCAGCATGGAGCACACTGAAGGATTGTGCAGTGACATGAGCAGGTCCAGCTCACGCTGAGGCCTAGTAGACCATGAGAAATTAGATTGTATTCTGTGTGCCAAAAAGTTTCAAAGGTGTTAGCAGTGATGCCACTTCATTTGTATTACTAAAGCACAGCTCTGGAGGTTCTTTGGAGGATGAATTATTGGTGTCAGGTGTTAGGACACCATCCCAGATTCTAGGCAAGAGTCGGGGTAGTCTGCATCAGAGCGGTGGCTGGGGGAGAGCAGTCATAGCATCTGAGGCAGAACTGACAGAGCCTCCCTCCGTACAGGGTAAGAAAAACTCCTAGGAACGGGCCAAGATTAGTCATGAATGTAGGGAAAACTGGCCTGTAGATGGTATTGTGAAAATAGAATGGAAAATTCTAGAGAAGTATGGTGAGTGGGGTGTGATAGTGCACATCTGTAATTCCAGCACTTGGGAAACTAGGGCAGAAGGAGTGTGAGTTTAAGGCCATCTTGGGCTACAGAGCAAGTTCAAGACTAGCCTGAGGTATATAGTGAGACCCTGGTGAGAGTGAGTTCTGTGTGTATGTGAGTGAGCGAGAGAGAGTACATTTAAGGAGAAAACCCATTTATTTAGAAGATGAAAAACCAGTGAAGTTGAATGAAGAGGAGTGCTCAGGGAAGTCACAAAAGCCAGAAGAGGCAGAGGTCACCATGTAAAAAGACGCTCACAGACTGACTGGGTCACTGATGATCTCCAGAGCAGAAGAGCAGCATCAGGGTAGGGAAGAGGATGAGTGTGGAGGAAGATGAAGAACTAGACACTAGAACCTGAAACTTTTTCTAGAAGTGTTTGCATGAATGGGAGCAAATATATGTACTAGATAGAGAGATACAAGAAATTGAGGACTTTTGTTTTGTCTTTAAAAGAAGGAGAAATACTAGTCTGTATCTGACAGGGAAGATTCACTAGAGAGGGAAGAGTGGCAGGAGCTCTGCCCTCGAGCTGCCAAGCACACCACATTTGGCCTTCTCTTGGCCCCTAACTGCATGTTCCGTTTCCTATAATGGATCTACTGCCTGGATCCTCAACTGCTGGCATCTTCAGGGCCCCTAGCCCAGCATCCTGGTCTTCTCACACTCCACACGCACCTTGGTGGTTCTCATCAACTCCCGCAGTCTCAAATGCCTCCTAAGTATGGACATTCGGCTGGCTATCTCCACCTGAACCTCTACTCAGCATGCAAAGCCCCTGGGCCCCACACACTGCAGCCAGCTCCAACCACCTCTCTTCCATTTCAGGCTGGAGCAAGAGGCTCCTTGCCAAGGTCTTTAGCATGACTCCTTCATACACTTCCAGCCAGACTGCACATACATGGCAAAGCCAGGTCAGTGTGACTTGGACCCATGCTTCTACTACAAACTTCCCTAAAAGGAAGTTCCTGCAGTTAATTTTCAAGTGTATCCCAAAATCTTTATTTTCATTAGTATGGAGTTATTGACATTTAAGTCATCAAGAGAAAGTAGCGCTTAATGATAATAAATATTCATACGAGAAAAAAGTCTGCAAAATGGTTTATTCCCATGAGTTATTGCTGGAAGAAGTCCTTCGAACAAATCAGTGTTCTGACAACATATAGAAAAGCATCAATCTTTCAGGTTCGTCACCACTGCTCTAGTAAGTATCATCTTTATAATTTTATATGTTCATGTTTTTAAAGAGTTGCTCCTTCAGATGAGGGTAACTCTTCAGTGTTTACTTCTTTTCCCAAGTTTGTGATTTTGTAAGCAGCTAAATGAGAGCTGTAAATTGTCTCACTGTCTTTTCACTCTCTCTTTTTAGTTCTTCAATGTGGGCATCCAGGCGCTCTAGAATATGGTGAGACCTCAGCTCCTCCTCTTCCAAAAATCTAGTAGCTATCGAACCCAGGGGAGACACAGGCACGGAGCACTAGGAGAAAAACAAATTAACAAATTCTGACATGTATAAGTAAGTAGAAATGCATACTTCCACAGTACTCACGGTATTTTCTAACTGGCAGTATAAAAAGTGATTTTTCCCTGCAGAGATATTCCTTTCTTTTCATCCTATTGACATGAGTAGTGAAAGAAAAAAAAATCAGTAAGTTCCGTAAAAATTAACACAAATCTCTCCATTTCTGACTCGTTGTACCAATAAGGTATGAAATAAATATAGTAAGTTATTAAGTACTGTCTGAGGAGTATCACACTTTACACTTGTGTACCATTCTATCCCCCAGAACAGAGTACAGTCAATGAGTACTATTTAAAACTTACTTCAAAAATCTGAATGTTACTTTCATTTTAAAACAACAAAAATGTACAAATAATAGATTAGATGCCAGCTAAAATCAGTGCTTTCTCTTCCCTAAAATTGCATTGCAGTTTTTTATCTGAAATACTCAGTTCCAGTAATCTTTCAGAACAGATTTTAGAAAAGTGGTACGGAAGCTACGCCACATGCAGCCTATCTGCAAATCTTCAACTGGTGACCACAGAATCACAACCCACAGAGAAAACACACATGAAACAGACACAGACCTCACACATATTATCGCCCTAAATCCTAGGAACAACTCTGCCTGGGAGACTCTATAGTCTCTATTTTACAAGACAAAAATAGGATTCAGAAGTGTTAAATGACTCTCTGAAGCCACCTCATTTACTGGTGCTGGAGCTGGGGCTTTAACCCCATTCAGCTGGCCCAAAGTTGAGCTTCTTGCACTACACTGTGCTGCCCCTATTGTCACCATCCTCTAGCCGTCTCTGTGTGAGTGCTAAGATAGGAATCAGAGCGCCACCTTGGGCTACCTCTGCTGGAAATATGCCAATAGGCAATTCAAATTTTTCCCTGCTCTGCGTATGTCCACAACTGACTCTGGAAGTACCATGACAGTTTAGACAGCAGGCAAATACATAATCCCTGAAAAATGAGGATCAATTCTATTAGCCTGGTGGAGACTGGAGTAACATCCTTATAATGAACACATTGCTAACGCTGAAGCAAAAATGCATGGATACTCACACTAAGCAGAATAAATAAAGTCTATACATCGCTGGTGTCAGGGAAGGTTTTGGTGCCAAAAAGTTTTGCTGCCAAGCTTAGGAAAGAAAGTTAATTTTCAGGGGTTTTTTTGCATTTCAGAATTACATATAAGTGAAATGGGATTAACTTTGGAAACTAAAAGAAAACCTTTCCATGGACTTATTGCCACATTAAAGTCAAAATGTCTGAACTTAGACAAGTAGACACCCATAGCTGGTGACAGGAACTGAATGGCCTGAGGCAAGTACTTCAGTGCAGAAGCAAAATGACAGTGGCGCTCCATGAAGCCGCAGAGCAGTGAAGGAAACAAAGGCAACTTCTGCAGCCAAGACCATGGTGCAGCACCCCAGTCAGGCTCTGCACAGCTCAGATGCACTGCCACTCCACCTGCCCATTCAGCCCCTCTTTTCCTCTTCACTGTTCATACCTCAGGACTTTCTTGGCACCCAGAGACATTCCTTGAACCTACCACTCTATTATAGAACTAGCCCTCTCTGAAAAAGGCAGGAAGGGAGTTTCCCAGAAACAGGATATATTCTGAAAAATAATCTTGGCTGAATATGTCTTCACAAGCAAAACGGAAAGACAGAAATACATAACAATAAAGGGCACTTATGATAGAGAACCAGTAAGAAAATAATAACCCTCATCACCCTTAAAATAAAAAGTAAAATCAAACTACATAAACTAATAAGTCAGTAAGATCAGAAAAGTTTCCATACCGAAGATAAATTCTCTTCCTGGTCATTCATACTGTCAGACATAGTGTCAGAAAAATTGGCATCATTTGGATCTGGCACTGAAGACAAAGAGTAAGTCTGACACATTAAGTGAGAAGGCAAAGAGACGGTGGAGCTGCAAGGGCTGATTTGAGAACTCGGGGGACTGAGGACCCTGGGCATGGGGTCTATGCTATCCAATGCTTTTCCTCTCGGAGAGTGGTGACCTGTTTTGTAGTGCTTGGTCTGTATTCCATCATGTCTGTGCTGGCCATGGATTGGCCTGGATAGTAGGTTAGAAAACAAAAGAAATGAAAAATTGTAGCAATTTTTCTCTTTCCAACAGAAATGTTGTAGGAAGTTCACTTCAGCATAAACAATGAGGCTAACCCCTAAGGCTCTATAATTCAAAAAAGGAGCAGCTCACTCAGACCAGGTGTTGACTCACTCATTCAGGCCCCAAATATCCAACACCCACTGCCATGCCCCTGTCTTCACATACTTTATAACCACAGCAGGGAGGACAAACAAGTTGCCAGAGTGATCTGGAGTGCTGGTGACAGGATGGGGAAGTACTGTGCACACATAAGGCACACAACCTCACTGGAGGTGAGAGCAGGAATGAAGGTGTCAACAAAGGCTTTGGTCAGAAGACACATAAGCCATATAGTATACAATGAATGAAGCTAAGTGGCTTTGCGTTGAATGCTTCCTTCTTATGGTAACAGCCTATAATTAATCCACTGTGTATAATGAAAGCTTTTTATAAAAAGCCAAGTTCTACTTCATATAGAACAGGTAGGGCTGAGGTGAAAGGCAACTTGAAAAGTCTCAGGGGAATAAAGATGCTGTTTATACCTATATCCAGAGTAGGGAATCATACCCAGAGCCTTAGCACATGCTAGGCAAATGCTCTATCACTGAGCTACATCACAGCCCAAACTAAAGCTTTTTTTTTTTTTGTTTGTATTGCCCCCCGCCCCCTCCATTACCCCTTCCCCCAAACTAAAGCTTCAATGGAAGTGCTGTACCACCTCCCCCTCCCCTCCCCTTTTTAACCTCATAATTGTTTTGCTTGTGCACACTGTACTTCAGAATTAAATACAGAGCTCTTTGTAATTTCTGTGACCTAGAAATTATTCTCAAAGTGGAAATTAAGTCACAAAGCTACATGTTTAAAAGAAACTTTACTTCTTCAACTCTGTGTTCTTGAATTCAGTTGTTTTGCTGTGTGCTGGTTTAAAGATTCTGTCATCTTTTTTTTTACACATCTGAGTAGCAACGTCCAGCTGAGATTTGGTATTCAACAAATCTTTCTGTAGTTGTTGATTTTCAGACACTAATTTGTTTAATGCCTCAATATAATTCTCCTGGAGTTCTGCTAGTGAAATTTCCTTTGCCTAATAAAAAAGAATACTACAATCACTTAATTTGCACAAAAATATCTGTGACATGTGATACTGCTGGCTAGAAATTCAGGGGTTTTTTTTGTTTTGTTTTTACTTGTAACTAATCTATTGCTTTACTTTGGGAAAACAATTTTTTTTAGTCCTCTTAGGACTAATAGAGAAAAATAGTCTGTATCTTAAGTGGAAAATCAGACACACAAGTGGGCTTCCTACGTGTACAAGGAATATCCAAGGACCTGGAGGAAGGAGGGAACCAGGATGGAAGAAAGTTGTGAGAATCAGAATTGCCAAAAGAAATAGCAGCCAAGATTCTTCTGCAAGAAGAAGACTGAATAGCCCCAGAATATCCATGGAGAAAATCTAGAGAATTAGTTCAAGGAAAGAAATTTTAGCAAAAGGATCTAAAAAATAATTATGGCTGACAGGGACAGCTTTTAAGTAAGTGCTCTCTCACCTTCATCCCTTTTCCATAACTTTGGCATCTACTCTTGTATATGAATTTGGGCATGACTCAAGTGTATGGTGGGAATCACTGCTCTGATCTGGTCTTAGTTCTGTGATCATAAATTGTATTTCCCTTCAACTCTAGGTGTTGCTTGGTAAACAGGCCATTTTTTCCAGTGATAACATATTTTAATTAGGATTCTGGAAAATTATGGTGATCTTTAGAGTTTAATATGATATTTAGCTTGCTCTTTTCTGTAAAAATTTTTCTGAAAGTAAGCTGGTCAAGGCTGTTCTTGAAAAACATAATTTACCTAGCAAAAACATAAACTTTAAAATATACTTGCAACTATCTTTGTACAAAAGTACTGACAATGAGTCACAAAACCTCTCAATGAGTTGTCCATGTCAGGTAAAATCTCAAAAGAAGGGCATTTGCAGGATACATGAGAAACTTTAAACTATGTTGGTTTTTTAAATGTGATATATATTTTATTAGAACTGCAGCTTTCATTAAGATGATTAGATAATTTATTAAAATAGATGTTTTTAACCCCAGCACTCATTTGGAAAAGTAATCCTCCTTCCTAGGTGGCAAGATGCAAAAGGGCACTTCCTAATAATGATTCTTAATATTATGTGCAACATGGTCACACTGTATATAAATGTAAACCAGAAAAAGCTTAAACTGACGTGATTTTTACCAGCTGCTGTCTTATATCATTGAACATACTTTCTTTAAAAAAGGTAACACTTGTCTTTTCTAGGTACCTTTCAAAATTTTCTCAAAGTTATTACTTTATTAACAATTACAGATAAATGAATGTGATAAGATAAAAACTGAGTAGCAAGCATGTACCTAATTGTACAGTATTATCAGTTAGATGGAGGCTTCAGGAGAAATTCAGCTGAACAGAATCTTTGGTCACAATCTGGCTTAAGCTCCCCTGAGGGTTCTCAACTATTAAATAAGAACAGGTCACTTCATAAGATAATGTTCTCTCAATCGAATATTGTGAAATCCTGAATCTTTTGAGGATTCTATAGTGTAAAGCAGATTAGTTCCTGGATTTCTCCACTACTAGATTATTACGGCTTTATCAGGGCATACAAAGTCCATCCACTCATTCATTCACCCACCCACCCACCCATCCATCCATCTTCCCCCTTACAAAATGTTAAGCTATTGTCTCCGCTCCTATTTTTTGTCATCCTTGTAGGTTTGTGCGTTAAAAAAACCCAACTTATCATTATTTAAATATATATATAAATATATAATATATATTAATAATATATTACTATTATTAATATATATAAAAATATTTATAAATGCCTATTTACCACAGGCATTTGGGGAGGAAGCAAGATCACATGAGTGCTTCATGTGCTATCTTAAATGACAGCATAATATTTCATAATATAGGCAGCCACAAAATTAATCATTTAAATAAATGGTTTATTTCAAAATTTTGGATACTGTGCACAATACTGTCCTGACCATTTTTGCACATTTGCTCTTAAAGAATGGCTTCTTTGGGAGCGCAAATTGATAAGAATACTGAACAACAATTCAACAATGATGATCAAAATCAGAAATGTACATGACCCAGGAATGTTAGGGGCTGTATGTATTTACAAGTTTGGTGGCTATTGCTAATTTATCCTCCTGAAAGGCCACATCAATTCACTGTCTCATTAATAGTGCATGACAGGCTGTTTTCCTGAATCTTTGCCAAAAGTGGTCATATACTAGTCTTTTAAAGTCATTACCAAGTCAATTATCTAAAGAATATTTAGTTTTATTCTTGATTATTAAGGGAGGTTAAATATCTTTACTTCTTTACTTGATATTTATATTCCTTCTGTGAATTATCACTTACGTCCTTTGCCTGATTTTCTACTGGATTATCTATTTCTGATTACCTTTGTAGGAATTCTTATATATGAATATTTCATATTAATCTTTTATCTGTTTATTGATTATTTTCTTCTTGTCTCTTAGTGCCCCATTTTCCTAGTTGAAATAAAGTATTCATCTAGCCTTTTGCACTTTCTTCCATCTCAGTCTCCATGATCGTGAAATTAGAACCACTTAGGAGCAAACAGGGAGCACTGTGTAACTATATATCTGTGTGGAGGCAAAATACTCTCTGCAAGTACAGAAAAAAGGGATTATACAATCATTGAACATTTGGACTACATCAAGACAAGATGAGCCAGAATAGACATACCATTTTGCAAATGATAAGAATTCTGAACAAAATAGTTAAAAAACCATCACACTCTGTAACTCACTGTTAGCCAATCTCTCTGGTTTTGTGGAAGCTTGTTATGCATTTCTTATCCTTCCTACTAAATTATTTCAATGTCTTAAAGGCAAGAATGCTACCTTATTTATCCTGTGTTCATGAAATAACTACTAAAATGTTTTATGTATAAAAGATCCTAAAGTATTTGATTAAATAAATAATACCTTATAGAAATGTAATTAAAACTAAATTACTTAAAAGATGATATACTTTACAATGAAAAGATATTATAGACTTCATAAATAATAAAACCAGCATCTAGCATGTATCGTATACATACTAAGTGCCAGTACTATGCTACATGCTTTATATATGTTATCCCTGAGAACACAGATTGTACATGTACTTTATCACATACATTATGTAAAAAAGATCCTCCTACTACTGGAGTGAAATCCAGAATATTTTGCTTACTCCATCATTGTTTTGATTTCATATTTTGAGAAAATTTTCTATAGAAGGATCATTCCACTTGTTTAATCTTAACTCACTCTTTATAATACCACTATTTACAAAGTGATTTTTTTAATGCAGAAAAACTGAAGTTTCTATTTAATGTACCTCATGTAAACCCAATTCCAAATTCATCACCACTTCAGAGAGACGACAATTTTCTAACTTGAGTGATTCCAACTGACTCAAAATCTCCTAAGGAAACACAGAAAAAACATAATAAAATATATGCATCTTACAAGATTTTTCATTAGGCCAAGTTACATTCTTCATTCATATGCACGCACACATACGTACATGCAAGCTTTGTAAAGGAATGTGTTAAAGGTGTTACCAGGTGAATTAGCATGCATACGATTAAATATTCTACAATGATCTATCAGGGCTGAAGCAGCAAAGCTTCAGTTCACTGGTAAACCCTTTACCACTCTCCTGCTTTGGCCTCCTCTAAATTTACTTCTGCCTCCAACATCACATGGAATTGTACTTCTTTCACAAAACAGTAAATTTTTTTTCAGTTCTCACTTCTCTTTAGCTTTTCTGCTTAACTATTTCTACTTGAAAAGGTTCCTGCCTTCCTTAGCTTCCTTTTTCCTTAACAAAAACTACCTGGTTAAACTCCTCCCTGCTATTTTTTTTTTTTTTACATCCATCCCAAACTTTTTAAAGTCTAGTTCAAGCCATTGCTCTGCATATTCTTTTGCTGCCTCATTATAATCTCTAAGTCTCTCAAGGGTCTCAAATGCCAGCTTCATGCAAGGACTCCAGCAAAATGCTTGTGCAACCAACTATTAGGTATTTCCATACAAATGTCTAGGCTTTTTCTCAAACCAATGTCCCCTCCACCAGCTTTCCTATTGTATCTTTTATATAAACTCATTATCCCCCAAACTTTTGCATTTTCTCTACATCATTACTTCTTTATGGTGTCACTTTTCACTCAGTTTCCCAAGCTTAAATCCTGAGTGACAATTTTCCTTACCTCTCTCTACCTCATCTTCCCTATCCAATCAAACACAAAGCTCAGTCAATTTTACCAGAACTCATCCATTTCCCTTTACCTACCTTGCCCACAGTTCAAACCACCACCTTTCAGCTATAACAGCCCCTGAGTGGTCTCTGATCCTTGCACATTCCCCACTTGCAACCATAGAAGCCTTTTATACCTGCTAACAGACATCCTCTACTGACCTCACAACCACACCAGGACACCTTCACCAAGGGGCAAGGCCCATCAGGAGCTTGTCTGTGTTTTCCAGCTTTGCCCCTTTCACTTACCCAACTTGTGCTCAAGTTTCAATACCAACCAGCAAGTCACACTTTCTGAGAGACTGTATGTATACACCACCTTGCTTGACGCATTTCTGCTTCCCTGTCACCCGCTTCATCCCTATATGACCCTCAGCATTCTTAACTTTGTCAACATAACCTCTGTGAAGCCTCTGTATCAAGTGGTCTAGCCCCTGAGTCCTTGGGTGTACTCCTAGCACCTTGTACACACACATTGTGCAATCACATCACTTGTTTGTATCCATTCTCACCTCTCCAAAAATCCTCACCATGCTGCTTGCTATCCCACAGCAGGTGTATAATAAAAATGTGCCGAATTAAATATTATGGAAGTTATATAGTAAATTATACTAAATTGAATAATGAATTCAATCTTCAAAAACAAACATAATTTTAAAAACCGCCAAATAAAAATTTGTTTGTTCAGGCTTTACCTTATTCTCCACTGCTTTTTCTTCTGCCTTTTGCATCTCGGCTTTGAGTTGCTTTTCCATGTCTGAGGAAGAACACTTGGCAGAAGCAATAGTGATATCACGCTGATGTAACTCCGAGTTAGCTGGGTGATTTCCATCTTCATTCCTTCTAGTGCAGAGCTATATGTTTGTTCAGTCTGTAAAATCTGTTCTTTCAACTATAAAGATGCAGAAAGAAAAACACCAAAAGTTAAGAGAAGGCATAGGTAGAAACAATATATTAACAGTAAATAAAATATGATAATGTTTAAGTCCATGTACACTTTATAGAGGGCAATACTTCTGACCTTCATTCTTTTTATAGCTACAAACCAAAACAAATTTGTTTATCTGGTTTTCTTGTCCACAAAAGATAATAACTGACCAACAGAAAGATAAGAGGAAGAACAATGCTAGAAATAATCTCAAAAAAGTAACAAAAAATACAAGTTAACAATTAGGGCAGTCAGGGTTCTTTAATGCAGAGACAAATGGCTCTGCATAACTCAGTAACCAGGACATTAACCATATCATATCACGGAAGAAAGTATTTACTCGTTTCCATCTTTAGCCAATAAGAAGATAAAAAATGACAGTGCACATTATACCTTTCTGTAAGGAAGGAAGTGTATATGCATCTGACAAGGGATTAACAACCAGAACACACAGGGAGCTCAAAAAACTAAACTCCCCCAAACTCAATGACCCAATGAAGAAATGGGCAAATGAACTGAACAGTGCTTTTTCAAAGGAAGATATCCAAATGGCCAAAAAACACATGAAGAAATGCTCAACATCCCTGGACATAAAGGAAATGCAAATTAAAACCATATTAAGATTCTACCTCACTCCTGTTAGAATGGCCACCATCAGGAACACAAACAGCAACAAATGTTGGCGAAGACATGAGGGAAAAGGAACTCTCATACACTGCTGCTGGGAATGTAAATTAGTAAAACCACTAAGGAAAACAGTGTGAAGGCTCCTCAAAAAACTAAAAATAGAACTGCCATACGATCCAGCAATTCCACTCCTAGGGATATACCCAAAGGAATGTAAGTCAGGTTATAATAAAGGCACCTGCACACCCATGTTTATTGCAGCACTATTCACAATAGCTAAGCTATGGAAACAGCCAAGATGCCCCACTACTGATGAATGTGGTATTTATAGCCAATGGAATATTATTCACCCACAAAGAAGAATGAAATTTTGTTGTTTGCAGGTAAATGGACAAAACTGGAGAATATTATCCTAAGAGAAGTTAGCCAGATTCAGAAGGCCAAGTCACGTTTTCTCTCAAAGGTGGAATACAGTCCAAAATACAAATACAGTAATATTATGGAAAAACAGGTCACACTAAGGGGAGGTCACATACAAGAGAGGGAAGGTAAAAAGAAGGAAGTTAAGAAAGTAAATATGGTTGATGTACTGTCTATACAAGAATGAATACAGAATGTTTAAACCTGTTGAAACCACCATAAGAAGGGTAGACTAAGGTAGAAAGAAGAAAAATAGAGGACCAATTTGGGTTACAATTACAAATATACTTGAAAATGTCACAAGGAAACTCCCTGTATAACTACCTTAAACAAATAAAAATGTCATTTTTTTTTTCTTTTACAAAATTAGAGAACAGGAGAGCAGAACAGGTCCTGTCTGGGGGGCTGGCAGGGGGAGGATGTAAGGAAAGGATGTAGGAAGATGAATATGGTGCAAATACCGTGTAGACATGTATGTAAATAGAAAAATGAGATCAGTTGAAACTATTCCAGGAATGGGAGGAGAAGGAAAATGATGGAGGGGGTAAATTCAAATATGATATATTTGATATATTGTAAAAACTTTTACAAATACCACAACGTACCCCCAGCACAATAAAACATTTTTTTCTTTACAAAAAAAATTTATTAGGATACATTGGTTATACATGGGGGGATTCATAGTGACAATTCCAATTAGGTTTATATTGTACATTGGTTAAATCACCACCATTCTTTCTTCCCCTCAACCCCCATACTGCCCCACTTAAAGAAACTGCAAGAGGTTCCTTTGTTCTATTTCATATAAGTATATGAATTCTATCAACCATACACCCTCATCTTAACCTCCTTCATTCACCCTCCCCTCACTCACTAATACTCCACACACACACATACACATACACTGTACCTATTTTGCAGTCCTGTCTCTAATTACTAATATTTAAGAGATTTGTTGGTGTTATTGGTCTTGAATATGACAATTTTAACTTGGGTGAGATGAAATTTTAGTACAGTTTTGATTTTCTACTTAAAAAAAATTTTAAGTATGTGTTTTAGAAAGTTTTTCATCAAGACATACTTAAAATAAAGTTTTAGAGTTCAAAGTCAGCAGGCTTTGATTATCTTGAAAATAATTATGACTTTCCTGATGATGCTCAAAAAGAAAGCACTTCCCTAAGCACAGGTGCTCTTCTACTCCTGATATCAAATGGCCCTCTGGACTACACTTTTCTCTCATTAAAAATGACCTCTGTAACTTCTCAATCTATACCTCTGTCCCTAAATATATCCAACTTCATGATCCCGGACATGCAGATTTTTACCTTCTTAATCTCTGCCCTGTACTCATTATTATGCCCTTCCATCTTCTTCAGTTCTTCATATTTTTCCATTAGTTCTTGGCTCAGCTGTTTACATGTTGCACTCACAGATTCCAAACTGCATCATAAAAATACAATCACACATTAAAGACAAAGTAAAACCCCTGAAACCCACAAATTGGATTATCCAATTTTCTTTCTTATTGTCCAATATCCTGCCAGTATCTTAAACATCACTTTACAACCCAAATTAAACTCCTTTCCAATTTACTCGTCCCCAGAGGTGGCTAAGTTCATCTTAAACCTTTGGTAATAGTTCTGAATTCTATATTTACTTCTACTCTTAGGTACTGGAGGTGTAGCTCAAGTGGTAGAGCATCTGCCTAGCAAGCAAGAGGCACTGAGTTCAAACCCAGTACCTCAAAAAAGAAAAAAGGGTGGGGAAACATTATATTTACCTCTACTCTTTCCCTCTGCTTAAAACTTAACTGGTCATAGAATTCTAAAGATAACAGCAACTTCACTAATGTTTTCTCTCTAGCTATACTAGAAAGCCACAATAGCACTCAATCTTCACCACATTTAGCTACATACAATTCCATCCTATACACAGCTGCAACAGCTGCAAGGATAACCTTTAAAGTATCCAACTTGTCACTCTTACTCAAGAATAAATCCCTCATGAGACATAAGAACTTCAGAGACACCATGCCTTTCTTATCTCACTGTTCATTTCTACTAACATGATCTTTTTCTTCCTAAATTGATAAGCTTTACTGTCTGTCATGGGCCATTTGCTGGGCCTGACTTCATGTCTCTTATGTATCATCCCCTGACCACAAAGCATCTCCTTCCCCATTCACTTGGCATAAGATGGTCAACCCCCTCTCAAGAATCTGATTAGCACTTACCCAGAGTAGTGGTGCCCCAACTCTTGCTCCCCTAATTTCTTTAAAAATAATTTGTTTTCAATTTTTATAGCTGAATATAAAGATTTCTAGGATTTGCTACTTTAAACTTGCAAGTTTAAATTCCTCTCAGGTTCGTTACCATGCATATTTTATCACCCAAACTACAAATTCTATGATTAAAATGATGTCTTTTTACTTATCTCCTTCCATACCTTCAGCCATCATCCCTCAGCCCCTACATCACATGGTTCTAGACTGTACCATAAATGCTTAATACTTAAATTGTTTCACCAACACAGCCAACTTGCCAGATAAGCTATCATTTAAAAATCATCTTTTTTAACATTTAAAAATCATTTTTAAATGATTTTTATCTTTTTATCATTTAAAAATCTTTTTATCATTTAAAAATCAAACATAAAGGCAGATCCCTTAAACCGCAACTGAAGGCGCATAGGAAAAGGGGAACCTAGAACTCATGAAGATAAAGGAGATTAAAAAGAATAAACCTAGAAAGTCACACCCACCACAGGCCACATCAATGTGATCCAAGTGCGCTGTCATAGCTATCCTTATCTCAGACCAGCAATATCACCCCTCGTTCCTTCCTACTTATTGCTTATAACTCCCTCTACAACAAAATAAGAGAATAAGGGCAAAATATTTCTGCGGGTATTGTAGGGGGGCGGGGAGGTGAGTGGGTGGTAGAGGGGTGGGGGCAGGGGGAAACATAAACCAAGCCGTGTAGCACATAGATATAATAAAAGAAAAATGAAAAAAAAAAATACCACAGCCACTAAAGACACTTATTAAATCCCCGCATATTCCTATTTAGGGTATATTTTTGATTAAATCCCCGCATTTCCTATTTTAGGGAATATTTTGTTCAAAGTAAACAATACAGATTGCCTAAAATTATTCCTTTTTCTACTTGTTTTTTAAAAGTAAAAATTTTAAGCCATTATTTTATTACTGAACACTGGTATTTATATCCATTTATTCCAATCTTACCTATTTCTAAAAATCCTAGAATATTCATTTATTTAGTATTTAGTATGCTATTGCAATGTGCCAAACAATGAGGCTGAGAGAGGAAAAATCAGAGAACAACCTGTCCTGTATACAAATGGGAAAGTCAGCATTAGACAGAGGCTAAGGTGTCCAAGAGAGTGCTGCAGGTCAGAAACGATGGATGGCTTCGGACCTAATGAGAGGACAGTAGAACACTTAAAAAACTTAAATTAAAAGTGTTTAGAAAAGAGTACACTTAAAGGACTATTAAAAAGCCAATCAGTGAAAAATCTCTGATAAAAATATAAATTTAAGTTCAATTATCAAAAAAAGCCTTTTTCATTTAGTCTAAAACATGTGCGGATACCTTGACAATGATAATAAAAAGTATCTTAAGTATTCCACAAGGAAATACTTGGAAAATGTATATACACTTAATATTAAAGAAAACACTTGAAAATACCTGGTAGTTTCCAAAACCAGAAATAGCTATCTTTTGTTGTTCTTTGTTTGCTTAAAGTCTAACAGTTTAAGTAGTTTTTGTCTTTTACATAGGGAAAATGTTTGTGTACAAGTGCTCATGACTAATGTGTTTAAAAGAAAAAAAATCAAACTCTTCCCAGCCAAAAAGTTTAGAAGTATGACAAAAAGAAATCTGTAAGTACGACAACGATAAGTGCCAGCTGGGCATGGTACGGCATTAGTCAGCATTCAATTCATAGCCAAGGAACTCTTAACTAGGCCTCAGATCAGAAAAAAGCACTGTGCGTCAACTGTGACCTCTCCAGAACGGTCTCAATGAGGTGGTAGAGAGGAAAGCTTAATTGAAAGGGTTCTAAGCAGGTAAATAAAGGGTGAAGAAGAGGAGACAATATGGACACCATTCTGAAGAGAAGAGAAATGAGAAAGCAACTTGATGGAGCTATTGGAGTATCAGTGGAAACCATTCAGCAGAAAAGAAACAGTCACTTCCTTTCTGCAGGAACAGGACATAAGTAGATGGATAAGTCTCAAGGGAATCTATATAGATCTATCAGCTCACCCACAGTAACAGATGACTGGCACAAATACAGGTAGTTTTTTTGATGGCAGAAAGATTAGGAAGTTCTCTTTTAATTGCTTGTAATTTCTCAGTGAAATAAGAAGGCCATTTGTGATGCTAAAGAAAAAAACTTTTTTTTTCACTAAGACTATTAGTTTACTATGTCAACATGATGATCAAAGCTTCATCTTAATTAACTTAGGATTTTGAAATGTGTACATAATTATCTACCTGCCTTCAAGTCGAATCACCTCTGCCTGCAAAAGTTCTTCACTTGTGTGAGTGAAATCCAACTGGGAGAGCACACTGTCTAAGACACCTTGAGAGGTGTACTTCCTTTCTGCATGAGCATCCTCCAGTGGCCTATAGATGAAAAAAAAGATGGTTATAGGTCTTTTGTCTTTGCAAACAAAAGCAATGAAAGATGAATCTATTTTTCCCAATTGTTTTTGGTGGTTAAGCCCTTCGAAACTCTTCAGTTTGTAAGAATAGCCAGGAGGTGCTGCTTCCCAAGTGGAGACAAAGGAAGGCAGGAGTGGGTGCTTATCTCTGCATGGTGCCTTTCATCTTGGTCCCAAACTTTTGCATGGCTCTAATGGGCAATTCCTTACAGCTCTGTCCGAGGTTACAGCTTTTAAATTGACAGTTTACCATGTTTTACAACCCTGTTTCAAGGCTATCTTCCTCTTCAGTTAAGCCCTTTGAAACTCTTCAGTTTGTAAGAATAGCCAGGAGGTGCTGCTTCCCAAGAGTTGGCAGCAATTTACTCCTTTCTTGAAGGGGATTTAGGCTGATTTTCAAGGGGAAAGGTCAGACAAAATGGCAAAGTCACTTTGACCCTTAATTCCTTACACCAAAGAAACTGAAAAATTACAGGAGAGTTCTGGCAAGAGTAAAAATGCACCAGACTTAAACAAAAAGAGCAGAACTCATTCTATTATTTTCCATTATAAATCACTGCTAGCAAAATATGATACATAAAAATAAATTGATTCTAAGAATCAATTTTAAGAGGGCTAACTCAATGGCTGGCTGTTATTGATGATAGGCAATCATGATCTAGTCTACCAAGGAAAGAAGGCTTTCCAGTAGAGACGGACACAATTCCCTTCATATCTGGAGTTTCACCAAGAGGGCACACTGCAGAATTTACAGATTTCTAAACATCAGAATCTTAGTGAAGAGACCCAAACTAAAACGAGGGAAAAAATCTAACCATACAAAATTTTATGACATCATAAAAATCTAACTCACCATTAAAAATGAGTAAGGAAACCCACAATATGATCAAACACAAAATTATGATATGCAATATTAAAACTGGTGTTTATGTCAAAACCATAAAATGGGTAAACATAATAATATTTAAAATTAAATATACCTTATAGTTTCTACTGTGAGTTGAGTGTCCGTTGCCTTTAATTTTGCTTGTAGCTTCTCCTTTTGCATTTTTGCCTCATGGATGACATTTTCTTGAGACTGAAGATTTGCCTTCAATTCCCTCTTTTCCTCCTGCAGAGCCTGCAAAACACACACACAAAAAGTCAGATAATATTACAACTTGCCTTCAGTTCTCTTTTCTTCCTGCAGAGGCTGCAAAATACTCTGGAAAAAAAAAAAGTCAGATAGTATTACAATTTTCCTATTTCATGAGAAAAAGAAGCCAGGGAGTCAGATGGTAAGTTGTATGACAGGCACAATATTAATTCAGCTACCAACAGCTGAGCCGTCAGTCCCAGAGTAGGGAAGAGACCACAGATTTTGGAACTTAGTTCTAGGTTAATTATTTTCTTAAAACACTCATAAACACATTTCCCCAGTTCTAGTAATTTTAAAGCACACCTCTAACAATTTTTCAGATTCCCTCAATTTTTCTTCTTTTTGCCGCTGCTCCTGCAGAATGGTCATATTGGTTCCAACCAAGTCATTGACCCTCATGTTAAGGCGTTCTATTTCCAACTCATTGGCACAGATGGTGTCCTTGGCCCGCTCAAGCTTACTGCTCAGGTGCTGAATTTCTGACTGGCTGGACAGCTCCACAGACTCTAATTTCTGTTTTCGATTGGCGAGCTGAGCCTAGATTATCAATAGGTAAAAAGGGAAATGATAAAAGAATAATCAGTGAATAAGGAAGACTAAATGAAACTAAGTTTCACTTCTGTAAAAATATGGGGAATTACATGGCAAGTTCATGGCCAGCTCAAACTATACAGCAAGACCCTGTCTTAAAAAACCAAGGGTTGGGGATTTAGCTCAGTGACAGCGTGCTTGCCTAGCATGTGTAGCTGGGTTTACAATTCTCAGCATTACAAAAAAAAAAACTAATAAAATTAAATGATTAAAATAAAATTATACAGCATTAGCTCTAGAAGAAGGACCTTACCAAGGGGAAAGAAAGAACTGAGAAAGTGCAGGGATTCCTCAGGAGAATAGATGCTGCCCATCTCCTGAAAAGACAGCCGTATTCCGTATTATCTACCTCAGTGCAGAAATTTAACTGCAACCATAAGCCATCAAAGAGGAAAACTAGAGCTATCACCTATTTAAAACAAAGGAAATAGGAGTTATGATGAATTATTTATTGTATTTCTTATGGAAGTTCAGAAATTAAAGTTTTAGAAGTCATCAAACTACTTAAATTTGTAGTTCAAATTTCTACTCTTTTCTATGTGTAGTTAATTATTCTGTTGTAATATTCTCTTCCAGTGTATTAGAAAAACTCATATTCAGATTATTCAAACTGATTACAACATGCTTTTTAAATTTAGAGAAGTAGAAGATTGTAAAATTTTATTCACTGAGGATAAAAGTACTTTATAGGAGAGGATTTGTTCTAGCACCAGTTTTTGGACATTTCCTGAACGAAAAGATTTAACTGAAGTATGTACAAATAAGACCACATTAGCAACTGTCTCACAGATCTACAGTATATATTCCCTAACCTCTAGCTAGGCCCTGCATCCTAGATAGGCGATTTGGGCCTCCCACTTTCTAGTTTTCACAATTCAGTATCTAGACTTGTTTTTTCACCTACACAATAAAGATGGACATAAACCATCTGTGGGGATAAGTTTCCATTATTTTTAATATTTCTAAAGGCAAAGGCACATAAATTTTAGAAATATAAGTGGTAATATCTCTGGGAAATCTATCTGCTATAGATTTAAAGATTTTACTGTATATAGAACCAGGACCGAAATCTTGTACTATATACATACTATGGTGACAAACAGTAGATGCTAAAAAATGCCTATAAGGCAGAGAAAGAATAGGAAGAGAGAAGCAAAGAGACAGACAAATATTGTTTGTATAATTATAGATCAAGATTCCAGTGTAAAGAGCCAAAAATATTTCTACCAGATACCTACAATACTGTGAAAGAAGACTCAACACAGGCTTAGTGAATAACTGTTAAGCATGCAATTTTGCCCAAGCTTTTAAATACAATATAAACCTCTTTCTTTCCAAGAGAAAACCTTATACAGAATGCTGTGCAGAATAAATAAATGCAGAGATTCAGTAAGGATGTGAAGAAAGGGGCTGGAGTCTAGCCTATCCCTACCTAAACCTGTCCAGCAGCCCTGGGGCTTACAGAACAGCTGGAAACCCTTGCCAAAACTGGCACTCGGGATGAGGGACAATACATAAAGACAAAATGCTCATCATTGTATTAGCTACTTAACACTATTCAACTCAAATCTGCGATTTGAAAGCAAACTCAATGTTGAAGTTACACCCATTGTTTAAGTTACAGTTTAACCAGTTAGTCTAGATTTGCTAACTTAAAAACTAACCAACTTCTCAGTTTTGAAGAATCAACATAGTCTTCCTTTACGGATTTACTATTTATTTCATGCAAAAATACACAGCATTTTTAGCAAATAATCATTTTAAGTACAAATTCTAAACTATCATTAACTAGGATTGATTCTCTAGGCCTGAACTGTCCAATACAGCAGTCATTAGCCACAGTGGCTACTGAGCATCTGAAGTGTGGCTAGTTTGCATTGAGAGATGTTCAAAGTGTAAAATACATGTTGGCTTTAAAGCCTTCTGAAAAAAAGAAAAGAGAGGCACATACATACTGCATGACACTACTGTGGACATACTGAGTTAAATACCATATATTACTAAAATCAATTTTACCGATTTCTTTCTACTTTTTTAATGTGACTAACTAGAAAGTTTTAAATTATATGTGAATTGTATTATAGTTCTATTAGTGCTGCACTAGACTAATCTTAAGAATACTTTTTCCAATACTAAGAAAGTCAGATATAATCACATAAACTCTTACAAATGATTCTTAAGTATCTGGCATTAGAGGTTTTTGAAGGTTATTATATTTTTAAAACTTTTTTTTTGCATTTACCACTGCAAAAAACCAAAAATTTGTCATATTAATCTAACATTTAATGTTTTAACTATTCTACTGAAGTGGCTAGAATTATTTCAACAACACAAATCACATTAAAAGTAAAGACACTATTAAAAAGGCAACTCACAGCAGGGAAACAGAAAGAAAGGCAAGTTAAATTTACAGTGACAGAGACAGCATGGATGAGAGGATCACACTGGGGGCTGCAGGCATCACAGGCTCTTCAGCCCACTGCTAGTGGGAGGCTGCAAGGTTGTGGCTTGCACTGACGCATCTGGAGCAGACCCTAATGGGGAGCTTGGTAAAGGACAGACGCCTGCACTGGCCATGCCTTCATGCTAGGTAGGATTCCTTGGAAAACATAAAGCCCTTGTTGCTTCCTACCATATTCTTCTCAGCAATCTCACTATCTAGAGCAGTCACTTTCTTGATGTGCTAGAAATATATACAAAGCAAAGTTAGAAAAGGTACTGAATTCCACCCCAGCCCCTAACCCCTTCCCTAGAATCTCTCATACTTTAGCTGTCCACCCTAGTACCAATCATTTACCATTCCACATGGATTTTAGAATCATTCTATAGCTGTCCACCCTAGTACCAATCATTTACCATTCCACATGGATTTTAGAATCATTCTATCAAATCCTCAAAATAGAATAGTCAATAAATTATATGAATAATCATTTGAAAAAAATTTAGATTACTATCAAATATCTGATACAGAAATGTATTTTAGATAAAATATATTTTTAAAAAATTAGAAAGCATTAGAAAAATCTTGGCCTGAATAAGATTTTATAATGTGAAAGACAGGAAAAGTTGACAGAATTAAGCAATTCTCAATACTTATTTATAAAAATAACTGCATTTCCATAAAAATTACTCAGAAAAATTAATGTGACTTGGGTAAACACACACAATTGCAACATAACATTAAAGATCTCATGCTTCATATTTAATGTATGAAATGTTCTTTCAACATGGTAAAATATAAACATCCTAAAAGAAAAATGAACAAAGGATACAATTTACAGAATAATGACATTGGCTAAAAATAAATGAAAAATGTCCAACCTTACTTGTAGTTAAAAGAAATTAAAATTAAAACAAATAAACAAATACTGTATTTTTCACCCTAAGATTGACAAAGACAAGCCTAAAAGTGGGATGACTTAAACAAATAATAGTGCCCAGAGCTAGGAAAGTGTGAGGAAATAGACATTTTTCACATACTGCAAGAGAATGTATCAGTCCATCTTTGGAGAGCACTGTGGCAATACATATTAAAATCTTAAAGAAAGTACTCATTTAAGAATGCAGCAATTTCACCTCTAGAGCCATTTCTTAATAAAATAAATGAGCAAAATGCTTACATAAGGATGTTCATCAAGAGTGAGAAACAGAAACCTAAATGTTCGGCAAAAAGGGACCAGTTATACAAATTATGATGCATTTAACAGCAGAGTGGATTTCTATACAATCATTATGACTACATTATTTGTTGACACATCATATTTAAACATCACAAGTACTATTTGTCACACAGTAAGCACTCTATATATTCTTAAATGATATTTCATGGAAATTTTCAAGGCTTCCCAGATATAGAGAAAATAAGATATACTCATTAGTTAGCTTCAAAAATATCCACACTTTGCCATTCTTGGTATTTTTAAGTTTTCAACTACTTTTCCCATGCTGTACAAGTGTATGTAATTTAATTCTTACCAAATGTACCTGGATGTAATGCACACTACATGCAAGCACAGAATCAGAAGAAATTTATAACAGCATTAATCGTGATAAATTTCTAGAGGGTGGACTTAAGGACTTTCTTTCATTCTCATTTTTCTAAAATGAACATGTAGAATGTAGTTTTACTAGCTGACTAAAAGAAAATAATGCAAACAAACAGATGATTCCAAGAAGCTATTTCTGAATTCTACTTTTTAAACATTAAAAATATACAAAAAAATTATAGCAACAATTTTTTAAATGGGAAGGGTAGTGTGTCATCTATCTACCCAGCCTCCCAGATTTTCTATTGTATTGGTCAGTGGTGACCAATACAATGAGTTAACGTGATGAGTTAACTGACTGGATTTTGACTCAAGCATTCAATTGTAAAAGGATAGTTTTTTATACAGCTGGGGAAACTTCAACAGACTGGTTACTAAATTGTATTAAAAAGTTATTATTCTGTTAATGTGATACTGGTATATTATAGGTTTTGTTTTGTTTTTAAGTCTTCACCTGTTGAGAAATAAAATGATGTCTACAATTTGCTTTGTAATAGTTTAATAGCCAAAAATAAAAAGCAGGGAAGGGTACAGAGCTTCAGTTTTGCAAGATGAAAAAACTCTATAGCTAAGCTGCACAGCAATGTTCACTGTTGGCAATAATGGCGCCGATAGGTTTCAGTTCTTACTGCACCCTTAAGCTTCTGTTTTCCAGGGTCACGGTCCTGCCTCCCAGGGTCACAGTCCTGCCTCAAGTCTAGCTTGAATCCTCCTTCTGCCCCAAACTCCAATCAGCATGAACCATAAGATCCTAACCAATCAGATCATGCTGAGTCCCACTGAGGGGTATTTAAGCCCTTGCCCCTCCTGCTTCTCTCTCTCTTGGCTCTCTGCTCTCTCCCTCTCCCACCCGGCAATAAAGAATCTCTTGGCCAGATCACTCCCCTCCACATGGTCACTTTTGGGGCCTATATTTTCTTACATTCACGGTTAACATTAATGCACTATACACTTTAAAATATCCTAGCTAAGAGGAAGAGTACAGCTCTGTGTAGAGCACTTAAAATGAGTGAAGCCCAATACTTCCCAGAAGCAGAGCCAGGAAAGCCAGTGACAGAAGCAGAAAGAAACGGAGAAGAGAACAGAGGCAGAAAGAGAAAGCAGGGAGGGAGACAGGGAGAAAAGGCTAAGAACCAAGACTGAGAGCAAACATGAGAAAGCAAAAGAGCAAGTGGGCACAAAACCTAGTGCAGATAGAACAGTGAGCATGCACGTGTTCCAGAGAGAAAGGGGTGAGGGAAAAGGAGAGAGGGAGGAGAAATTTGAGCATGTCAACTTGCTGAAAAGGATAACCCTAAGTAGAGGCTTATCTTGCTATACAAGAAAGAGAGCAGGGTTAGCAGAGAAGCTGAGAAAGACTGGTAGGTCAGATTTAATCAAAACCTATCTGCCTCTCAGTTAAATGGCTTCAACCTACCTGAATTATCTCTGATTGTTCAGCCAGAGCCTTCCTTTGTGCCTCCAGAGAAGATACCTGTTGCTGATAAATCAAGCGTTGCTTCTCCCAGTCCAGTGACTTCTGACGAAATTCCTGAGGAGGCAATTAAGGTACTTAACTTCTAAGTGCTTCCCCTCTCTGTCACTACTTCCCAGATTCACCTTGCTTTAATTTCCCCCATTCTCTGGGTACACTTGCACCTTTCTCCACAGCAGGAGCCCCATTACTCACTTAGCTGACAGAACTGCAGACTAATACTGAATTCCCCTCATACTGTGCCTGTGGATATCTGTCTTTCTGAATTTAACACCCTAACGATGAAGAGCAAAAAGCACAGACGCCGAACAGTGGGTTTATGAGCATCTTCACAGATTTGCTGCCATCTAAGGGTTGTTATTTTTTATTGAATTTTCAGAAAACTTATGCTAAGATAACTAAAATTTCAAAATATGATTACACATACCCTTCGTTATCCTAAGTCTTGATATCCAGACCAGGACTTGGGACAGAGTCAAATAAATTTTCAGAAAGTCCCTTCATAGCCCAGTTCTTACTTCTTGGAATCTAAATCTCAGGAACCAAGTAGATTCAGATAACACAGTGTCTTTTAATGGCCAAATTTTTATTGTCTCAACAGAAAAACTGCAAATACCTTGAATAACATGGGAAATTTGTAATAAACTTTAATGGGCATTTGTAACCGAAATCCAAGCAGTTCAAAATTAATGGTTGATCAACAGCAACTTCAAACTATATGATGAAGAACATGAGCCCAGTATTTATGAAAATGAGGCAAATCAAAGGAAAAAGAAACTCAATATCTCTATCATTGTCCTCCAGGACCCTTAACTCTAAATGTCTCAAATTCCTTAGGATAACTGTTGACAACCAGATTTCTGATATTCACTCATTCTACTATATATGTCAGTACTAATTTGAGTCATGAGGATACAATATTTAACAAAACAAAAAATTCTAGGCCTGCTCAAATGGAAAGTAACAGACAACACATTCATTATGTAGTATGTTATATGGAGATGCTTTGGAGAAAATAGAGCATGGAGTGCTCAGAGTTGTGGGTTAAAAGGGATGGCCAGACTGGGAAAATAATATTTAATTAAACACATAGGGCAGTGGGAGCAAAGTTGTACTATTCTGGGCAGAGGGAACAGCCTTGAAAGTAAAGCATTCTTGGTGTGTTTAAAAGTAAGAAGTGGCTGAAAGGGAGTGACTGAAAGGAAAAGCTGGAAGAGGCAAGGTCAAAGGCTTAACAGGGGAGACTGTAGAGGGCATTAAGATAATTTTGACTTTTAAGAGAAGTTACTGGAAGATTTTTGTACAGGAAGTAACATAATTTGACTTGTATTACCACAGAATCATTCTGGCTGTTGTGCTGAGAAAAGAGAGGTCAAGGATGACTCCAAGGTTTTAGGCTCAAACAAATTGAGAAATGGACTTGCTACCTCCTAAAATTGAACTTATGCTGGGGAGATGGGGAAGAGAAAGTCAGGACCTTTATTCTGGACATGCTAAATCTGATATGATGTTAGGGTTGTAGGTATTATAGTACAGATGTGAAACTGGTAGTTGTATGTTGTCTGCAGCAAAGAAGATAGATTGCAGCAAGATATATAAATTTAGGAACTGTCAACACATAGTGTTAAAGCTGTGAGATTGAATGAGATCACCAGAGAAGTGAGTGTAGATTCAAAAATAATAAAAAAAAAAGACAGAAGAAAAAGAGTCTAATGACTCTTCTTAAAAGGTTAGTGAACAAGAAAGACTGAGAAGAGTAGCTAAAAAAGCAAACAAACAAAAAAAGAAAAAAATAACTAATAAGATGGAAGAGGAAAATTTCTCAAGCCCATGTCAGGAAAGTGTTTTAAGGAAGAGACTGGTGGGGTCCAATGCTACAGACAGAATGAGGAAAATGAGGATCAATCACAAACTTTAGGAACGTGACCCTCCCATAAACAGTGTCTGTAATGTGAGGAAACAAAAGCTTCATTGAATGGGTACAAGAAAAATGGGAGAAAAGGAACTGGAGATAAGTAGAGATGCCTGAAGTAATTTAGTTATAAAATGAAAGAGAGATGGAGCGGAGGAGGAGGAGAGGGATCAAAAGACATTACTTAAGAGGAAAGAGATTTGGATACTGGTGGAAAAGATCCAGTAGTATGAAATAAACTGAGGATGCAGAAAAGAAAAAGGAAAACTTTTGGAGCAATGTCAAGTAGGGAATTGGAAGACTATATAGATAGTTCCTCCAATGGGGAGGGAAGGCAGGGCATGAGGGCACAAATACAGAGGCGGCAGATACAGTGTTTGAAGTCTGTGAACAGAAAGGAAGATACCACTCACAGGTGAAGATGCAGGAACAAGTGATGAAAGCCTGAGGACAAAAGAGGAAGTATGAAAGAACCATTGGGGAATGTAGGTGAGAGGAAATACAATATGAGTCCAGGTAACATTAGGAGACATTTGAGGTTAATAGCTATGAATTTAAAATAAACCAGCCAGCGTGGTTATCTTCAGCCACATGTGGCAGATGAAATGGAATCTGAGCAGGATAACGCTTGATGAGTGAAAACATAAGGAAGATATGGAGCAGAGAAAACACGGAAGAATTCAGTCATTTTAAGAGAGAGCTAGTGATTACTGAGCATCAAAGAACTGGAGAAGCAAGTGAGCTAAAAAGACAGGATGATAACTTAAAAATGAGATTCTACAAAACTTGCAAATACTGGTAAAGACAAGGTCTAAGGAATGGCAATAGGAATAAGTGGATGGGACAGAAAAGAGGTCAAAGTACAGATGTAACAAAGGATGCCAAAAAATGCAAAGGCCAAGTATTATAAGCATCATCCCTGTGGACTGAAATTCTCAAGAGTTATGAAAAAGAGAAATGATGGAGAGAATGGTGATAACTGGGAACTAAAGTCTATGAGCCAGGGGAGGAACCCAGGGGTTAGAAGATGAACACTTTTGTTGTATGTTCACTGGTTGGTGGTATAGACTGATGACATGAAAATTAAAGATGGGGTTTTGAGGCAGAAACAAAAGGGTTAGAAAATGATAATAAGGAGTAAGAAGGATATTGGGAGTTTGGCAGAAAAAAGTATCGATGAACAGGACTGAAGGGGAGGTAATATCTGTGTAGTCCTCAGATTCAAGAATTCTAAACATATAAAAAAATTGAGATGTAAAAGGATACTAAACACAGAAATTAAAATTTTGAAATAGTAGTAATATATTGGTATTTGCGGGTGACAGTTCCCCCAGAGTAGAAAACTATAAAAATCACACAAAGATAATAAACAATGTTTCTCAAATTATAATCAGGTAGGGGAGCTGGATAAAATGCAAATTCTTAGGTTACATGCCATATTACTGGACCAGAATCCCTGAGAGCTAAAAGCAGCCTGGATAATAAAATTCTCATGTTTATGCTCCATCATTCTGACAACCTTTTTTTAAAAACGTCTCCATTCAGTTAGTTCCAAATGCCAGGTATGAGTGGGACTACCCCATTGAGCATTACTGATAACTAGTAACCCCATTGGCCACAGGGAAGCAGGTGATGATAGGATGCACAGTGGATCTCCCTCCCACCACTGAAATAGCTCAGTGGCAGTCCTGAAGATGGTAGAAAATTGGTTTCAGGAAACTGTACCATTTAGGAATAACATTTTCCTACATGAGGAAGACTGACAATGACTATGGTGATTATTACTATGAACATACCTCTATTTTTCCAGTTAGCCTCTCAATCTCAGACCGATCCTCCCTGTGATTTTTGGTATTTCCTCTGAATTCCCTTATTTGTTTTTTCTGCAGCTTTTCATAGCTTCTCTTCAGTCTGCCTAACTATAGAGACAGTTACTTAGTTACTTAAAATTTAAGAATTATTAAACAAGGGTGGTGTGACAAATTGTATGAAGGTAAGGGCAGTACCAGCCAGAACTACTGAAAATAGAGCCAAAGCATGTTATATTTGCATACTTAAATACAAACAAAGCTAAAAAATTAACTGTAGCAAAGAAATGCACACAGTCAAAAAAGGGAAATTTAATTTTCAAACACAATTTTAGTTTTTATTAAAATGGCCTTGTACTTAATGACCTCACCACCTACCCCCACAATGGAAGTAGCAAATAGCAACTTTCTCTTTCCAATAGGCTTGTGGTTCACAAGACGTGCTCCTGCTGGCTGGGACATTCAGTAAGCACAAGAGGAGTACTTTGGAACTCAACCAAAACAAAAGCAAATTTTCCCAAATCTGAAGAATAGAGTTAACAGATAGCATTTTCTTACTTTGCTTTATTTATTCCAATGTTTTTTTTAAATTTTTGGATTCTCCATTATTTAAAATCTTGTAACTGATTTAACTCAATAATTAAAATACTAAATTTTTTAGTATCATTATTTCACAGTATTATTTAAAAAAAAAAAAAAGGTCTGTTTCAGGTACTCAACCAATCCCCGTCCTAGGTAGCATCAAACATGTAATTAGGCAAGATCCTTTGCCTATATTCAAGAGCAAAGAAAGAGATTTCTACCCCTCCAGTTTAAATGGACTATGTACTTCCCACTTTACAAAGATTTGTTAATGAGAAATTTGCTCTCATTAACAAAATATTCTAGGGTTAAAGAGAGAAACGATACAACACGTAACAGAACTAAAATCTTACTTCTTCCTGTAGTTTCTTCAATTCCTCTTTATACTCCATGGCCATTTCTTGTTTGATTTTTTCATGTTCTTCTACCTGCTGACGCAACATTCCAACCTGAAAGCAAATAGGTGGTAGTAATTTTCATTATTAGCAGTGAAACCATATCCCTGAAATACAAAAATAGAAAATAATTATGGTTAATACTGTCAACTTGGCTGGATTGAGACACCTAGGAGATTAGTAAAGCACACCTCTGGTGTGTCTATGAGGATGTTTCTAGAGATGATTAGATCACGAGGGCTCTGACTTAATGGTTTAATCTATTGATGGATTCAAAATTTGAACAGACTATCAGGAAGTACTGGAAACTTTACAAGGGGAGCCTCATTGGAAGACATAGGTTCTACTGGCCCCTTTCTGTTAACTCTTACTCTCTGCCTCCTGACTGCAGTAAGGTGAACAGCTCTGGCCACACACACCCATCTATCATCATGTTCTTGCCTCACCACCCGCCCAGAAACAATGCAGCCAACCAACCATGAACTATAATGGTAAGCCTTTAAACTGTTTGTCTCAGGTGTTTGTCACAGCAATAAAAATTAACATGACCTTTGTAATTATTTAACTCAAGTCTTCAAATGTGTATGTATGGTAATACTGCACTTCTCAGGCAGTCAATTATCTCGTTTATAATCCATAACACTGTCAAAAAATGAAGGATAAACAACTGTTCTAACATTTCTTGGTTTAGATGGAAACTCATGTCCTCTGTTTGATTTATTCTCCCCAACTCTCTTCATCAAAAAATTCAAGAGAAAAATCAACAGATATAAAGTTTTAAAATGTTGGAAACCAGGAATACTTTATAAAAAGTCTACAAAACTTGAAGAATAATTTCTATAAATCAAAGTGCAGATTATTAATCTCAGACAAAAAGACAATAGAAGGCTTATACTTACTATTTCAGACTTACAAGAAACCAGTTCTACCAATCAGAATAAGGAAGTTATCCTAATCCATTTTTCAACTGATACTAACAACAGCTATTTCAAACCCAGCTCTCACCTCCATAAGAATCCATCAGTATTTCTCTTGACAACCAGTTCAAATTTCACTTCCTGATAAGCAGGAAGGGAGAATGGGGAACTGAGATAATAATCACAATCACAAGACAGAATGGTATTTTTGTAAAAAACTAGAAATAAGCTTATAAGATATAGGGGTTAATGCAATTTTTAAAACTATAAGATTTTTGGAGGATGAGGGGGAGCTTGAAAAAGTCATCCTAAAGTTCAAACTAAAAAATAGTGAAAGAAAACCAATAAAGACCTGGGTGTAATGGTATACACCTGTGGTCCCAGCTACTCAGGAGGCTGAGGCAGGAAGATCCTTTGAGCCCAGGAATTCAAGGACAGCCTGGGTAATACAGCAAGACCCTATCTAAATACATATAACCGATAAGTAGAAAACTCTACTTTTACAAAAATACCTATGTGAATATTTGCTGAATTTCTGGGTGTAAAGCAGCTTTCTGAGCTTAAAACTAATGAAAAACTCATTTTTTAATGATGGACTTGACTATGTAAAAACATAAAAATCCTGTATGTCATTTTTATTTTTTCTAGTGCTGGGGATTGAACCTAAGTTCTCATGCAGGCTAGGCTAGCACTCTACTACTGGGCTATGTTCCTAGACTCCAAGACTAGATTTTAAAAACTCCAATTAAAATTAAAAGGTAAACAAGCCAAGAAAAAATTTACCCAAAAAAACCCCCAAAGAGTCTTAAACTTTTAGTATATAAAAAAAATTCAAACCAAAATTTAAAAAAACTTTAAGCCTTCCATAGAAAAATAATCCAAGAACAAGAATGATTCCCACACCTAAAAAATAGATACCAAGAAGCATATGAAAAAAAGGTTTAATACCACTAGTAATCTGAGGACAATGAAAAATCCAGTGCCATTTTATGTCTATCAAGTTATAAATGTATCTTATAAAATAAGACCTACAAGGGGAAATTATTTAGGATCAGGGACCCACAGCATTCAGAAAAAATGAATCACAGCACCCTTTCTACAAGGCAAATGTGGTAGCCTGTAATAAAACCCTCAAAAATGTTTTTTTCTTTTTCTTTTTTGCCATATTGGGGTTGAACCCAGCACCTCTAGCTTGCTAGACAAGCCTCTACCACTCTATATATGCCTCCAGGGCTGTTGTTTTTATTTTGTTTTTGAGATGGGATGTTCATGATCCTCCTGCCTCCACCTCCCAACTAGCTGGGATTACAGGCATGCACCACCATGCCAAATTCTTCATAAATATTCTTAACCTTGACTTGGTAAATTTTATTTCTAGAGATCTATGTTAAAAAAAAAAAAGAGATGTTAACAATTTATGAATTAGGTATGTTGTTGTTCTGTAAAAATTGAAAAAGATTGGAAGTCTAAATATTTTAAAATAAGGGAATTGTTGAATGAATACACTGAATGAATTGAATATATATCTAGATGATAAAATAAACAGATATTAAGATGCATCAGAATAACTAATATATAATAAAATGCTTACCATCTGCAGACATAAAGATGTAAAAACTACACTAAAAATCCCAATTTTATAAAGGATTTTTAAATAAGTAAACTTGTATAGCTTAAAGGAAATATAACAAAATGTTAACAGAGGTTAACTGATTCACAGTATTATTGGTTATTCTATTTTCTTCTTCATCCTTTGTCATCTTCTCTAAATTTTCTCCAATGGCTATTGCTTTTATAAGCAAAAAAATGACTGCTTTAAAAGAATGAGAATGACCCTAAGCCACCTACTTTGCTCTGATAGAGATCTTAAAGAGTCATTTGTTTAACACAAATTGAACAGTCTTAATTATTCATAGCTCCTAGCCCACAACCTGCTAGAAAATACAAAATTAGAAAATAAAGAAAAATAGGTACATACAATGATCAGTAGAAATGAGCAAGTACTTTTAGCAAAAATAGAAGGGAAAAAAGAGCATCACGCTACCCCTTAAAGTAGCCCTGCCTCTACAATCATAAAAACACACAACACGCACATATATACGTAACCATCGGTTCTAACAAAGATACCAAGAGTAAAGATGTTGTATTTACTATCTACTGCTCTCTCTCCAAATAAACACACCCTTCCTTGAACTTTCAGTAGCTATTACCCTTTGACCTTCTATTACAAGTTAAGACAAAACAGGCTAGCAGAATCTTACAAACTTTTAATGATTTTCATAAGGCTGCTGGCAGCACGGAAGCTATTATGAACTCCTCAAATCTAAAAAAAATTCTTTGACCCAGGTTTACAAAGTCAAAGATAAACAAAAAAGGAAAAAATCTACCCCACTAGCTTTCTCCCTGCAGTATTTCATGATCCCTCTCATTTGGCTCTCTGCTATCACTAAAGTCACATATATACCATGAAAGCCTATATGCAGAAGAGAAAGGTTTGCTGGCATGGCTGTATTTAAGCATCTCTCCTTCCCCAGACTCCTTGCATAATGTGACACAGGGAACCTCTGAAGAGCACAGAAAAGGTTCTGGATTCGTGTCGGTTTCCCTGATCAGTTGGAGTTTGAGCCTCTTTATCTGTCACTAACAGATTAGAAAAATGCCTAAATTACATTTATTTTACATATCAAGGCAGACAGAGGGAGGAAAGTAAAATGTTTTCTGACAAAGAGCAGTGAAAGTACCTCTGGGTTACTCTGCTAATAAGAACTGCAGATAATGGAGTGCTAGAATCTAAAGAAACAGGGAAACACATGAGAAGAAGAGACTAACAGATAAAGTGCATGTTAAGATTTGTAAATGTAGATAGGCATGGTGATACATGCCTGGAAATCCCAGCACTAGGGAGGCAGAGGTAGGAAGACTGTGAGTTTGAGGCTACTTGGTGAGGCTGTGGATGTAGTTCAGTGGCAGAGGGCCCTAGGGTTAACCCCTGTACCACAAAAAATCTAAACTAAAATGCCAGAAGAGCTCCTCCAAGCCTAGCTAAAATCTTTTCAACACACTATACAACTGAAGTTAACAGCAAGAAATCTATCCCAAAAAAAGTTATTTTGAAGAAAGAACAAAAGCAGCAACAGACTCCCTTGCCTTCTCAGAAAAGAAAACACTGTTAACACTGAAAAAGGAAACCAGAGACGCACATTCCACTTAACTGTGTAACTGACTATCAGGCAACACTAAGTTCCTGGTCAGTAATGCAGATAACAGCACCAAGATCTTCACTAATGAGGTCTACAGCAAAACCAACGTGAGAAAGTGAAAAGATGATGCTGTTAACAGACTATATTGACATAAAAAATAAAGTGTACTTTGTGTAAATATAAAAGGATAAATGCAAACAAGATAAGAATTTGTGTACGGCTGACAGCAAGCATGCTAAATAATGTAATTCCCAGAGCTTATCCTTTCCAAACTTTTCTAGGCCCAAAGGCAAACAATCCCCAATTCCAGGCCATGAGAAAAACAATAATGCCCAAGATGTACACTTTCAACCACTCAAATGAGAACTGCTATTATTTTATTTTAAAATAATCATTAACTGGAGGAAACATAAGCACAGAAAAGCACAGCTAGTAACACATAAAAATAAAATAAGCCTATCAATCAAAGGCACCACTCTGGTAGACCTGCCTTTTCCACCCCACTCATCAATATCCAACCATCTCTCCATAAGTAACCATTGTTCTGACTTCTTGCATATGACCTATTAGTTTTCATTTGCCTGTTTTTGTACTTTATGTAAATACAATCAGACAGTATGTATTCTTGGGCTGGTGTCTTTTCACTTCACATTGCTTTTGAAAGTTGCCCATACTATTGCCTGAAGCAAAACCTCATTCATTTTCAATACTATACTATATTTTACTATATGGATACATAACTTTTTAAAAAATCCTCTTCTTCTCTATCACTGATGGACACTACACTGTACTCAGCTTCTAGGTACTAAGAATCCTGCAGTCATGAACAGAAGTACCATACATATGTACTGAGGGGAACTCATTTATTTGCCACCAACAATGTATAAGAGTTCCAGCTGTTTTGTGTTCTTAGAATAACTTACT